GAGTGAGGGGAGAGCGAGGGAGGCTGATGCTGCCTCGTTGCATTGTTGCATTAAACCCTCCCGTGGATCCCCCAACCCCGACTCCCAGACATTATCCATGCTGCTAACTTTCTCGGTATACAGTACAGTGGCAAAATAAAACCCAAGCGTCTGGAATTGTAATCAGCATAGTTGGCGAAGACTTGGAAGAGCAGGTGTGCGGGAGGGGCTGGGTGTGTGCAGGTGTGTGTGCTTATCTGGGAGTACATGTGTGCAGTAGCTGGCTTGTAGCCACTGAGGCCAACACGGTGTCCACATTTGGTTCTGAGCTTCCTGACAGCCACAGGGAAGAGATCCGTTATTTGGCTACCGCAGACAGAGGGCAAGCGTGCCAGGTGGGTTGACTGAGCACCTAGCAGCTGACTTGGTTGGCATTAGGGAAAGCTCCCGGTTTTGGCTGGCTCACTGGGAATTGCAGGGTTTAATCTGAGACCTTCCTGTGCTTTCCACCAGCCCCCTCAGCTCACACCTGAAGCAGAGTGATTGTTCCCATGGAAACTCCTTTTGCTCCACCTAGGGAGACAAGTTCCTTGGTTAATGCTGATGCCCGGCCTTATCTGAGTCAAGTTTAGCTCTAACACATAGGCCTGCCCAAGGTTTGTGTAGACTATGGAAACATGTGTAGCTTCTGAAGTTTAAAAGCTGCATGTGCTTTAGCAGGAGCAGGCCTGGTAGAGCCTTGAAAACCCAGCTCTTTCTGACTGTCTGTAGGTCTCTGTCTAATTGATTTTCACTTTCCCGTTAGACCTTCGTGGCTGAAGTCCACTGAGCCTCCATTTCTCAGACTCTGAAGGCAGGAGAGGGGAGGCGAGGGGTGAGGCGTGAGAGGGTGAGGCATGAGAGGGTGAGGCGTGAGAGGGTGCCTTTGCTGAGATAGCTCTGAATGGAAGATCTGTCTTAAAGGAACAAGGAGCAGCTTGTTGGCTAAGCACTTGTGCAAGAAATCTCAGGATCCGCCTCTTGGCTGCTGAGTGGTGATTTGCACGTGGCCCTGGGGCCTGCTGGTACTCTAGTTCTCCCCAGCTGCCTCAGGGCGTAGAGGTGCGCATCTGCGCAGGGATGCCCTTCCCACCATCCTCCACGCCTGCCCTCAGGACCCTCCCTGCCATTCACTCCAAAGGTGACAGAGACAGTTTGTGTATCAGACCTACAGCCCCGGGATGGATACACACACTTACATCAGAGCCAGGCCAAGCTCCCCGTAGGACCTGCGCGTTAACATGGGGTACCAAAGCCAGCAGGTGGTGTCATGGTTAAGGCATTGGATTCCCACATGGCCGACATCGGTTCAAGTCCCGGACCCAGTGGCTTGAAAGTCACACTAGGCGTGTGTACATGTATGCCCAAATTCCCGAAAGGAGAGGAGAAGGGATTGCAGTTTGGCCATTGCCCTGCGGGGTGGGGTGGGTGGGTGAGGGGGGGGTTCTTATTTTCTCTCTCTCCATCTCTGTCTCTGAGGTGAGTGCATGCACTCACCCTATAGCAAAACTCCCTCTCAACAGCAACAACTAAACGTGGGGTTCCTCTACCTCAGCGGCCATTTAGAACCTGCTCCCAACAGCTGGCTCTGGGCAACTGTTCCCGTGATTTCTTCCTGCTCCCTCCTGGCGTGAGTCTGTGGTGCTGCTCTCAGCCTTGCTCTGCAGGGTGGGCAGGCCTGACCCTCTCCCCGGGAGAGGCTGGCGCTGATCTTGTCTGGACCAGAGGCAGAGAAGTGAGTGGGTCGGCGCAGCTGTGCCAGGGCCTCCTGCTGACGAGCTGCAGAGCCCCAGGCATGGCCAGGTGGGCAACATCGTCCTTATAGTAACTGGGGCTGTGAGGGTCACTTTCCCTGTATTTCCTGAACCCAGCCAGTGAGTCCCAGGAGAAACAGGCTGCGGCATCCTTCTATATCCAGGGAGCGGGGCTCTTCCCGAGCCGGGCAGGCCTCAGGAGACGTGCTTTCCCCTCCCCGTGCTGGATGGCTCAGCGCCCTTGGCCTGTTTTGGAGTTCCGGGAGCTGCAGGAGCCCAGAAGCTGAAACAAGGGGCGGGGGCGGCATCCCACCCAGCAGGAGCATCACTGGGCAGCAGTCATCCTGCCGGCGGGCACCGGGGCAGTGCGACCAGCGTCCAGTTTGCCCGGCACTGCAGGGCTTCAGTGCTAAACCCAGCACTGCCCCGGCACACTGTGACTGTTGGTCATTGACTGGGGACACCGCAGAGAGCGAGACAGTGCAGCCTACCCTCTGGAGCGCTGCCCTCCTGCACATAAAGGCCCACGGCCAGAGCCACCTGCTAGGTCCTCTTGGACCCCTGGCCTGGCAGGCCAAGATCCTTACCCCGGTTTCACAGATGGGGACGTGGTATAGAACCTCTCCTGGCCCAGTGGCCAGAGGCAAAGCCCAGACAGCACCTGGTCCACCTACAGCCCTGCCCCCGTCTAACCTGGGGCCACAGTGTTCTCCTCTTCCTAGAGAGAGAGCCGAGGGAAGGCTCCACCAGGAGCGGTTCTCACAGGGAGACCTGGCTCTGAGACGCCCCCGACTGTGCAGAGCCGGGGGCGAGGGAGGGTTAAACGGGCCGCTAGCTGCTCGCGACCCTGCAGATGAGCCACCAGCCCAGGCCTGCTGCCCTCACAGCCTGCACAGTTCTCTGCAAAAGCAAGGGCGCAGAGCAGAGCTGCGATGAGCCAGCCACCCTCCACTGATTTGCACATAGTTGTCTCCCTCCCTAGTGGAACCAGGCACCGAGGCCGCGTGACACCTGCTCTCTGTGCCTTTCCCCATTTTCTTTTTCTAAGTTTTTCACCGTAGAGCATGCACTCGCCGGAGATAGACACAGAGAGGGAAAGTGAGAAATCACCGCCCACCCCAGGCGGACGCCCATGCCACCATCCTTTTCCCTCCACTTTCTTCTTGGGATTTTAGGCACATACATACACACATGTACCTATTATGCTTTTCTTGCCTTTGTTTTGTTTTGTTTTGTTTTGAGATTTTTGCTATAAACAGAGACAGAAAGTGAGACATCACACCTGAGGGGGGATGACCATGTCACAATCCCTTCTCCATTCTCCTCTTGGGATTTTGGTCATGCACACACATGGGCCCAGCGTGAGTTTTAGCTGCCGGGTCTGGAACTCAGACAGCAGTGAGCATGGGAGTCCAGCGATGTGACCATTACACACCATCTACTGGTCCTACCAGCATGACTTTACAAGCTGCTGGGCCTGGGACTCGAACCATGGCTGGCCATGTGGGAGCTCAAAGCCTTCTCTACCACACCACCTGCTGGTCCCTCTTTCCTCATTTTTGCCAAGAGGTTCAGACTGCGCCTGGTTCTGTTCACTGTCAGACATGTCTCTGAGCCCAGCCAGTGTGGACAGAGGTGGGAGAGGGAGGGCCCTGAGAGCTGATGGCACCTCACTGTGCTGGGCCCTGGGACAAGGCCTGAGGCTCTGGCAGAAGCCACTGTTTGCCACAGGCCCCTATGTGCTCAGTGTGTGTTGAGTGGGGCCTGGGGCGACGCTGTGGCTGAACCCCTGTAGATCAGACCTGCGTCTCCCGTGCTATGGCTTCAAGGGCTGTGCAGCCCAGCAGGTACCCTGCCTCCTAGAAACTGGTAGTGGTAGCATTGGATTCATTCACAGAACAGGAAACTGGGGCTCAGGACGATAGTGGCATGCCGAAGGCACCACAAGTGGGAATGGCAGGCCTTGGGTCCTCTGATCCTTGATCTCGGCTTGGCAGCATGGAGCAGCTAGGAGAGAAGAGTGAGCCCAATTTCATGCCACCTGCTGTGTGCTTGTGTGTGCTGCAGACAGAACAGTGGGCAGGGACTCTAATCCCAGCCTGGTCAGACTCAGCTCAGGTGGCCCTGCATATCTGGAAGTGTAGGATGCAGCAAAAGCAAGGTTTTGAGGGAAAATCATAGCCGTAAAAACTGATATTAGAGAAGAGAAAGGTGTCCTGTCCTCCAGGAGGCCCACCATGATGCCATCTCTGTGCCTAAGGGACCCTCCTCAGGGACCAGTAGTGAGTGCCCCTTGAGTGCTCCATCGTTGCAGAACCTCAGCTTGGCCCACTTCCTGGCTGACCTCTCTTTCTCTCACTGGATTGAAAACTCTCTGTACTGGGCCTTCCTCCATCTCTGCTCTCTTCATCCTGTCTCCTGGCGCTAGTCGGCGGTAAGGGCCTGGCAGGGAGTGCTGGAATGAATGAGGTTACGAGTGATTTCTGCAGCCCTCCCAGCCATAGCCCAGCCTGTGCCCTGGGGCCCTTGCCCTGTGGATGGGGTGGGCACGGTTTGAGTCTAGCCTGGACAGCAGTCCCTGACTCACTGGGAATCCTGGCTCTGCCAGGCAGGCTGTGACAGGGATGTGTGCAGAGA